ACGTATCTACATGACTACATCACACTTTTTGTTCATGCCTATGTGTATTATTGAATAATAAGTGTGAGGGATATTATTTAAATCTATTAAAGCCATAAAATACGAAACCAGTGTGTAATGATAAACGTTAAAACGTATAAACGTCTTAGTACCTAATCATTCAGTATAGTGACTAGTGAGTAAGACTAATCGTAGGTTAGGGTGTTGCGTGGGCGGTGTGCTTATTGTAGCCTATCCACAACGCCAAGTCATGGTGCTTGTAGGTCTACAAAATATACATACATAAAAAAAATATCATAATTTTATTATTTTTATAAACACTTAACATGCGTTATGCGTATGCGTTTCAGCATACGTTTTAACAATTCACTATTTCAATATTGTAGAAAATGTTCCCATTTTTCTCAGTAATGGAAATATCTTACTATAACTTGAAATAGTTCATTGTTAAAACTACACCTAGTTCAACAAGATTTTTTCTGGCTGCAAGTTGAATTCAAGCAGGGCGTTCCTTAATAATTATTGACATATTCTTACGACCACAGCTGTATTCCTTGAAAAAATAAATTATAATGTTTATGAAAAGAAAAACTATATATATAGGACGTATGAACATTTTTCTAAAATTTAGTTTTTAAATTTTTTTCTTATAATTTTGATAACTAAAAGTTAAAAAATAAAAGGGATATGAAAAAAAAATTAATTGATTAACATCAATGTTGTAAAAGTGACTCTCGAATTGCCTCCAAAATTTAAGTAGGTGATATTTTTTCACTCGAATTACCTCCCATAACATACCTGGATTATTAATTAATATATCCATAGTTGTACGTGGACTATCGATTATTATGTAATATTATAATTTATATTATTATATTATTCCGTAATGTTCAAAAATATTATTTTTAAGACATGCAGTATTTCCAAGACCGATTAATTGTTCGAAAGCAATAATCTTGTCGATCAACCATTAGCCATCACTAGCCATGTACTTTATGTTCTCTCTCTCTTCTTTATTTCTCAGTTATATGATTATATGATCGCCTAGTATTGATGGCAGGAATGGAATGCGCTCACCATTTGTTTATACCATGATTTAAGATATACCTACGATATATCTTAAATCGTGGTACATAGTTTCACGTAGGTACTGAACTATAAATACTAAATTTAGTTCAGTGGTTTCAAGTCAGACACTCGGACGTGGAAGTACTAAATAACCACTGCGAATAAACTAATAACAAATAAACTATACTATATGTCTATATGTAATCAAAAAATAATGTTAATATAAAATATGTTTTCGGACAATAAATTAGTAGCAATATTTACACGATTTTATATCGAGCTATTACTCTGGGAATTTTAATATTTTCTTCGGCATCAATAAAATTGCCAATTACGAACAGAACGATAAAAAATATTCAAATCGGTCGGGTCGTTTTTGAGTTTTAGCTAGACTAACGGAAAGCAACTAATTTGTATAATAGAAATATAGATTTAATATATTGTTACCATTGCATAGTTACAGAAAATAAAATAGTTAGGTATTATGTAATATTATAATACATTAGCTGATCCCACACACTTCGTTGCCCGTAAAAAATTACAACTCTTAAAAAATTATGATTGCTCAACTCGTTTTGGGTGCAACTCGCTGCAGCAAGTGCAACTCAGCCAGAGTCGGACAGCGGACAACGCAGATGAGCGATATAACTTACAAGTGCAACTCAGCCTGCACGGCTGCACCTCGGTAGGCAATGTGCAAAAATTCCATTTGATGCATGTTCGTTCCTGATCTGCCCGATTAACCAATGGCCACCTATAGTAAATAAATACTATTTCTACAGTTTATTTCTCCTTTAACCGCAATAGCAATCACTTATAAACAAAAATGTCCATCGTAAATTTCAAAATCCCTGTTTGAGCAACTCCCCGGGTTGGACCTATAACGGGTCCAATTGTGAATCTAAATCATCTCGGGAACCATTCAAAGACACGCAAAAAAAATTTCATCAAAATCGGTTCAGCCGTTTAGGAATGCATAAAGGACAGACAGACATTTATTTTTATATAATAAAATAAATAATATATAGAAATAGCCATGTCGTCGCGACGTCACTTCGCGTAAATTTCGGTGATTATAGGTAGGTCGTAGGTATGCGTCTGGTCGGAGTGAACTTGTAAATTGCATTATATTGTATCATTGTATATGCCACAAGGCCGTAACTGAAAACAAATTTCAGAGGGGTGCAGGGGGTCCAACATTTTTTTAACAATCATAGGTATATTGGAGTCAAATATACCTACGTTCAAAATATAAAAACTCTTTATTCTCGTTATTACTGCTTTGACTAACACATAAGATTATTGTTAATACAATATTATTATTATAATTATCGTACAATAGTCAATTATCAACTAAAATCACTGCTAAAATTTTTCTTCGCTTTTAAAAGAATTTATTGGGGGGGATTCCGAATCCCTGGACGAACAGTTACGGCCTTGACCATATATATCTAGGGGCTACCACTATATAGCTATCTTTTACACCTATTAAAATAACGTTCTACACACATTCACGAGTATACGACCGCCATGGCGCCATATACTATATAGTATCTTATAATATGAATTATTTACTTTTATATGTACCTATAGGTTATAGTACAGTATACAATTTGAGTATATTTTAATATTATGGTGTACCGACCGAGTTAATATAGTTAATATCGCCCATACCTATATATCCGCGTGTCAAAAATATTACAATATTATAGTGTGCGTGTGAATAACGATCGTCGGTGTATTCCTATAGTAGGTAATGTAACGTATTACAACTATACCTAACCAAGTACAACTAACTACCGTCTACGACTATTAATTATTATATAGGTACACGGTCGATAAACACAAAAAAAAATGCATAATTCGTGATTAGGTATAAGTCTGCCGTTGCGTGTTCTGCCCCATTATATTATTATATTATACGCCTGCTGTTATGTCATGTGATGAACGTTATGGGGATGGTTGGGGGGGGGGGGGGTGTGAACACCACGAGAAAATGAAACTAATCGATTTTTCAAAATTCTTTCAGAGGGTGGACGAAAAACAAAATAAAGAGCTCGTCACGATCTGAACACGACCGGTTTGTCCTTGGTAAAGTAAAAGTCTCAAACTCGCCGCCGCCGCCGAAACGGCCGTTCGGACAATAGAATCAGTGCCGCCAACCAACAAGGGTTGGTGTGCCCTGTGTGCGCGGCACTGCAACACTGGGCGAAGGGTCCTGTCCGTTTGCGTTTTTACACCAATCGCCAAGACGTTCGCCCCCCGACCAAAATAATAATAATAATATTACAACACGCATATTATATACATCGTGTGGTGTTTCTATGTTTTTTTTTTTTTTGTCCGTCGGGTTTTTTGTGATATTATCATTTATCATCTCGTCGAACTATTGAACACTATCATCATCTGATCATCATCATCGTATTATATTATTAATAATAAAATAGAATAGAGTATAGCATTAATAATAATAATAATAATAGTAATAATAATAATAATAATAATATTAATGTTGACGAAACGCAATAATGGAGAAATCGAAAAACTTTGTTGTATATTAATTTTGGCATTACCGTGATATCGAACGATTATTGTTATTGTTTATGAGTGTGCGTGACATCGACAACAATAATTAACGTACCCTAAGCCTGCCTACTGCTTAGGCCCGTCCGCTGTGTATCCGGTCGTGATAATTCCATCGACATTCGCCCGAGAAAAAAACGGTTCGACCGCGGCGATTGGATCCGATCTGATGTGTGGTTGGCCTTCTAGACATTGATGATTTGAAGACATCTGTTCACGGATTACATAAAATTAACTTGGAAACGACGTCAACATATCAGCAAGTAAATACATATTAATTATTATGTATTTAGTCCTCTGTAGTTTTATTGCTTAGGGCTAAAGAAAATAGTGTCGAGACATTTTTTTCGAAACGATAGAAATGTGTTAATATCGAGGTTAATATTAATATCCACAGGTTGTTCATTACTGCCGAATTTCAGTTCCACTATTATGCAACTAAGTATTATTTTCACTAATTATCCATCCCCATACAAATTACAATAGGTACCTATATTTTTCTCTTAGGCATAATCATTGGAGATAAATTCAATTCAACTAGACATTTTTATTTATACTCTAGATTTGGTACCTATTGAGAACAGAAAAAAATTGGCAATGAGAAATATTACTAATACACTAATCAGAGTATTTTTATTATTATAATTGGCTGTTGAGCCACCAATATAAGCATAATTTATTACACTTGAGAGTGCTGACTCGCTTTGAAAAAAAAATAGTTACCTACATTATTTTAAATTTCTTCAGTAATTACCAAAAAGGTAATTAAATCATTTAAATCTGCTTATTTGTTAATTTGTACCTAATACATTTTTTACTTGATTAATAGAGTAAGGCATGATGACTCATTATAAATGCATGTAAAAAGGACATATGAACTTAAAAGTGTGTGTAAGACACAGACCTGACATATCCTGTAAGCACTAACCCTTGTCCTATGTAGTTGTACAGTGTACTCATGGGAGAAATGCCGATATGATTTTCAGTAGCCACATTATTTTGGGTATGATTTTTTGATCTTTAAAATACCAAACATAATTTCATCTATCTAAAATGTCCCTAATTTATTTTTTCAACAATATTAATTAGGTAGGTATTAGTGATGAATATCTGTCATTTTTAAATTCTATACTTTTTACAACCTGCGGTATGTGAATAATAAATTGTTGTTGGTAGGTAGTTATATAATTTAATACTTATAGAATACCTATTTAAAAAAATTGATTCTTGTTTATAATTGTAACTTATATAAACACTTAATAGTTTCATATTTATTTTTGTGATTTTATCATGCATACCTATTAATTTATATTAATCAATACTAACCTAAGTATTTTTTTATTTCAGAAATGAACGGTAGCGTGGAAATTGTTGTAACAGAAAAATCTGGGGAAAAACGTTTGGTCACCGTCCAAGGAACAACGGTTGAAACTACAGATGATCGACGGTAAATTTCTAAATGTTTTATATTCTAAACATGTGTAGGCCCACCCACATCAAATCTTGTTCCTACAATCTACATTTCCAAGTATTCTAGTATATGTAATACCTGTAAATGTGTATTATATAAATATTTAATATTAGTTAATAAATTGCAATACAATATTAATTTAATTAAATGTCTGATTTTAAAGTTGAATTTTGTGTGCTCTTAGATAAGCAAATTTATCAATAATATCATCATAGTTGATAGAGACAGTTAAAGTGTACTCAATGAATAGTTGAACAAGTTAAATTTTACCAATTGAATTTTACAAATTTCCTGCAAGATATTTCTGAATATTACAAGATAATAAAAACCAATACATTATTTCCAAACATTTTTTGCGTCAATAGAATTTATAAGTTCTAGACATGTCATTTTGGTAGATACTTTGAAATGTTGAATAATAAACGGTTTTTAAATGTAACATTTCAACACACATATTTTCTGATAAATTCTATTTTTATTTTTGTTTGAATATTATAATTTTCAAATTTCCAATTCTTCATTACGTTATCATCAAGGCTTGTAAGTTCATGCTTTTAAAAATTCCAAAGTAAGCATGCACTTATGCATTAAACACTGGCAAAATATGTGTTGAAATATGCCTTAAAAAGTTTAGAAAGATACATTTATTTACACTAAAAGTATGTAAATTAAAAAAGAAGAAATCATAAGTTATTTTTGGAATAACAAGAATTATCCATTCATATTTTTAAAAATTATGGTTTTTTTTTAATGTCATTCCAATTGAAAAATCTAATAATAAATTATAATCTAATAAAATAAATATCCAGTCATTCGTTCATTCTAAATCTGAAAATTTTAAAAGAATTCCCATATATTTTATACAGTGCAATAATGTAAATAATTGCATTTTTCATTAAATGTTATCCAAAAGTACTCTAAATATTATGTACATACAATAAAATAGAAAAACGCATAAAAATACCTAGTGTGTAAAATATATCTAAATATGCAAAATAAAATTTCAAGCGCTTAACCATGGTACCTTGAAATTAATTTTTATGCTATGTGTCATTAGATAAGACTTAGATTGATATCAAGATTGATATGCAAATGCATGAACTTATGAGCCCCGGTTATTTTAAATAATTCAAAAACACTACAAATAATTTTTGCAGCTAGAAATCTTATGTTCTGAATTGGAAAATGTATTGTAGAGTAAATTACTTCTGTTTTAAATACATTTCCTAGTTTGATATTTTCGTTGGAATTTCTGTTTTTGTGTTTTTATTTTTACGATTTGTCATTAATTTTACTGGTTTTCAAAAACTTTGTGTTATTTGAATTTCTTTGGTTTTTTGTTGTAATTATACAATAATTTGGGACCAGTTATTTCATAAGTTTCGCTTGTCTTTCGTCAAATTTGATATAAGATTGAATTCTTAATTAAAAACATTTCCCTTTTTCGTATAATACAATTTCTTGTACTGGAAATTAGATTACACATTAGCCTTAAATAGTTAAATGTTATAAAATATTTTTTAATGATTTAATTTAAGACGTGTTACATTTTTCTAAAAGTGTAGAACCTAGTTCATTTATAACTCAGTCGAATGCATTAATAATTTTTGGTAACTAATTTAAAAGTACAATCAACTGTTAAACATACCTATGCAAAATAATAAAAATTATAAGGACATATAGTAAAATAAGTCTAGACTGTTGAACATATTTTAGTGACATTTACACGGTATGAATGAAAAGAGTATAATAATAACTTATTTTTTTTGAGAAAATATACATGCATTCTTTTTACTTGTCAGGAAATATTGGTACCGTTATGGTATATTCTTCAATAAGGTAATCTAAGTTCTCTAGTTTTGAAATTAACTTAATGCCTTTTCCAATTTTTTCGTCAAAATTAATAAATTTGAAGCTCTGAACATGTGTATACACTTTATAATAAATATTGTTCAAATTTTAGAAATATTCCAAAATTCTTGATATAAGTATATAACTAATTTGTTTTATTAAATTTTAATATAATACTATAATGTATGTAAAGTTGATAAAAAAACTAAATATTATTCTGACAGAATAAACTGTTTGGATGATCTAATTACAGACATGTTGTGTATTCAATTTCAGTACCTACATACCTATTTTATCTAATTTTTTTGATTAGATAATTAATACATTTTTAGTAAATATCTTTTTAAGCTTGTATGTACAGTATACACTGAGCACCTAATGGCAGAGCTTGGTACCTTTATGATTTTTTTTATTTCGGTTTGGTACAATAAGGTTCATTAAAAAAATGGTTACAGTTCTTAAATTGACCTACTGGCTACTGAATAAAACAGTTACGCTACATACCAGTATTCATTAGTATATATATTTTTTCAAAAAATAATAAAAAAATAATTAAGTGCAAACTTCATATCTAAAATGATAAGACCTAATAATGGGCGTCTTAATTGATTATAGGAACTTCAGTAAGTTTACTATTTTGGTTATAAAAAATTAAAAACATCCAAAATAAATTTTATAAAACCTGGGTTGACAATAAGTTATGGTACTAGTGCATCATAGTTGGATAGCCACTTTGTTACAATTAAATAATCAATTGTTTTTATGATAATTGATAAGTTATTTTATTTAAGTAGTACCCTAGGTTTTTGTGAGATATGCATGTGGCCAAGTGACTTTGTGTTTTGTAAATGTCACTTGCTTATAGAACACATATTTTTTGTTACTTATTAGTCCATTTCATAATCTGATAACATTTTATACGGGTGCATATTTCTGACTGTTCTAAAAATCATTTTATTAGACACTTATAAAATATATCACTAAGCGTTAACGTCCTAAACTATCCGAAAATTATCATGACAATGGCTAACAAATGGGAAAATAACAACTTACCTATATATTAACATTTTGGTGACTGTTCATATTTTATAGTTTTATAGAGATTTTATAGAATATTTATAACTCATGTAAGTATAATCAATTATTATTACCTTCATAAACAAAATAGCTAAATAAATAACTAATACCTATTCGAAACACAAAAAAAAAAAAAAATTATATAGGTACCAATATATTATTTCCGGTTCAGGTTTGCAAGAAAATTGCAAAAGGGTTCTGGAAAGGTTCTTGATAATTTTACAGAATAAAAAATGTTTGTTTCAGTTATGATAGAAAATTAAGGTTTCTGTATTGAACATAATATATTACAGTTACCTATTTAGTTTTAAAATATTATTCTCATTGTTAGATACTTTTTGTATTAAAACTAATTTGAACAAATAAGTATTTTAATATTGTTTATAGTTACTAAATCTTAAGTATTAATCATACATTACATTTTTAAAGATAATTGACAATAATAACCAACAAAAATAATTAGTATTACAATTAATTAACCATACTTAATTTAGGTATAATATATTATTATATGTCACTATAATACTATATCTATCATAGTCAATATAAATTGCTTTTTTAATACTGTTCTAAATTTAAATCTAATGATTGTTGATAAGTTATTCCTAGTTATTATAATGAGTAAAATTTATAAAAATGAATATAATCATTAAACATTAAATTCCTATTGAAGTTCAAATGCATTAATGTTTCAGGGTGCATGAAAATATTGGATATGGAATATTTGTTCAAGGATTAAATGGAGTAAGTAATTCATTTTTTAAATTTGTATTAGCTTTATTAGTTGATTATTTTTAATTTTATGTACTTTAATACATAAAATCTTTTATTTGTATTGCTATGCATTTTAAAAGTACCTATCTATAATAACATTTTAATCTTAATTTAATTCTCTTAAAGTAATTATATTCTAATAAAAGTTGTTTTCAAATGGTAGGATTTAGCCCATCTATTGTTGGATCAAGAAGAAGTGGGGACTATGACTGTAGAAAGTTTAGCAAAAATAATCAATGGTCAAGAAGCAATAAATGTATCCGGACAAATCCAAATTAATAATCTAAAAATTGATAATGTGGATTTATCTAATGAAGATGGTACAACAGAAATTTATATTTCTGAAGAAAAGAATATTGCAATTGACATGGCTAATGAAGCTGTGGCAAACTGTCAAAGTCTTATGCGACCTAACCCTATGGATGAACTACAATGTCAAAAATGTGGCAAACGATTTTCAGATGTTAATGCTTTAAAATCTCACGAGTTGTCTCATGATGATGGTCAAAATGTTGATTGTAAATTTTTGTGTACTGTTTGTGGAGAAAAATTTGATAAGGCAAATGCATTGAGTGCACATTTGGTTATTCATCGTAATATCAAGTTACATCATTGTGAAGTTTGTGGATTAGTTTTTCCTGATGATGAATCTTTAAAAGAACATGCTCAAACACACTCTCGTCAGAAACTACACACTTGTCAAAAGTATGCTTTTTATTTAAAATATATTTTATACATTTTTGGTGTTGCTATATTATAAATTGTTTTTTTTTCCTTAGATGTGATAAGAAATTTCCTTCAAGTTACAGATTGTTTCGTCATATGACAATTCATACAGAAAATCCTCCTTTTGTTTGTGATCAATGTGGTGTGTCCGTGGCAAATAAAAGCGATTTAAAACTTCACATCATGAAACATACTGGGAGTGCTGTGTATACATGCACTGAATGTGATAAGAGTTTTTTAAAGCCATCTTGCCTGCAACGACATTCAAGCGTACATACTGGTGAACGACCATTGCACTGTAAAATTTGTAACATGACATTTACCTATTCTAGTAATTTGTGTGGGCACTTAATAGCTAGTTCTAAAGCAAAACCACATCCGTGTACTATGTGTGAAAAATCATTTAGACGACCATCTGATTTAGAACGCCACATGATGATTCATACTGGTGAACGTCCATTTGTATGTCAAGTATGCTCTATGTCATTTATTACTAATTACAATTTAAAAGTGCATTCAATGATCCATAATGGGGGTTTGCCATATCCGTGTACAGCTTGTGATAAAGCGTTTAGCAAACCTTCAGAATTACAGAGGCATAAATTGGTACACTCTAGAGAAAAGCCATTTTCATGTGTCAAATGTGAAGCTACATTCACAAATCAAAGTAACCTTAAAGCTCATATGATAACTCATACAGGTCGAAAACCATTCCCCTGTCGTATTTGTAATAAAGGATTCACACGTCCATCAGACGTCAAACGTCATATGCTTACACATACTGGTTGCCGTCCTTTTGCATGTGATGTATGTGGCTTGGCCTTTGCCGACTCGTCAAATTTGAAAAAACATTCATTGACCCACTCTAAAGATGATCAAAAACTCGCTTTGCAACATCAGTGTCCATCGTGTTGCATCTCCTTTTTCTCATACGAACAACTCAATGAACATATTATCTCTGGAAATTGTACCAACAATAGTGGGCAAGCTGAACCTAAGTACTCATGCAAAGAATGTGGTGCTACGTTTAATCATGCACTTCACTTACAGGAGCATGCCATCATGCATTCGAATCACAGATCAGTACACAGGTGTGACGTGTGCAACAAAACATTCATTCAAGAGTCGTTTTTGATTGCACATAAGGCTTCTCATACTGAATCGCGACCTCACCGTTGTGACATTTGTGAAAAGAGATTCAAGAGTACATCTCATCTGAAGAATCATGTAATGATACATTCAGGTATAAAGCCTTTCGAGTGCACTGTTTGCAACAAGTCTTTTTTAAAATTAGCTTCATTGAGACGACATTATGCCACACATGATCGTGTAAATTTCTCATCTGCTGTTTGCCACCAATGTGGTAAATCATTCCTCAATCAAGAATATTTGAAAAAACACAGTGTAGTACATGCTGATGCATAATACGTAGATAAATATGGATAAAAATGAACATGTTCACTCTTTATCATTATTATCAGTAAACTGTATAATAGCCTCATTAACTATTGATCATTTACAGTTTCTTGTGGTGAATATGATATGAAGTGTAGATAATTATTAGTTTCTATGTAAATATGGAATTGTTTTTTAAAACTGGCAAAAATAATTCATTGTTGCTTTATAGTTTTTAATTAATTTTAAATATTGTCTATTAATCTAAAAACATATTCAAATTTGGACAATAGTTTAATACGGATTACATATAATATTATTAAATGAGATTATATAATTAGAAAATTAGAATTTAATTAATTTTCATAAATCAATATTAAATCAATTATTTTTTTTATATAAAATATATATTGTTGGAAAAAATTGATTGTTAAAAAAATTTAAGTGTCACAAGTTCCCATAATGTATTTTTTTATGACATTAAAATATTTACACCAAATGTAATTAGATTTTGATTTAATTGTAAATATTTTACAAAGTTGTTTTATTTAAAATTAGTTTTTATTATTTGTATTAATAGTATAAAAGTATTATATTTTATAGCTTATTACAGTATAGAAATAACAGACTTAAACTATGACACTGCACATATCTCTTGTTCTTCCCATATTATAGCTTAATATAAAGTACAAAATGATTACAATTTGTACTTGATGGAATAGTTTTTGGGTATTTTTTTTATTATCTCCTTGCTATTATGCCGTATAAATTGTATAGCCCCGTCAGCAGTGTTTTGAATATAAAATTTCAATATTCGTAATCGATATTACTCTTTACCTTGATATTCCATGTGTGGGTTATTTTAGTATATCATCTATTTATGGTAAAAGGGTTAATACTTCTAAAATGAAATTGTTTTTTATTATATATTAATCATGTTAGTATGTTGTTGGATTTTTACTATATTTTATGTGGAATTTCAAGTGCGCACTTATGACTTATCATATAAACATGATTAACTTATTTTCAATATATTATAAAATATAGTTTTATTGAGTAAATTTCCGCTATGTTGAATACTGGCATTACATTTTTAAAACAAAAAGAAATCTTTCAAATATAAAATTTGTGGTATTTAAGGGTATTTAGGAAATTGTCTTAATTTGTTTTGTTTATTTAGGGGTAATATTATCAAATATTAATTATTAACCATGCTATTATTAATTGTAAACAATACCTATATTAATATTATTTACTTTTATTTGAAAGTATGAAAGATGTATAAAAAATAATATTAATAATAATTTGGCAGGGTGACAATTTTTATACGGCACGGTGGCAGGGGTATAACAGAAGTTTCAATAAATTGTCCTAAATGTTAGTCATTAATTCTGGATTTTCACATTGAACACATTTCAATAGTCCGGATCTTAAATCAAGGTAAACTAAATATTGTATGTAATTGTGCAACTTATTTTAGAAAGATGTAAATATTATGCTAAGCAATATATACATTTATAAATATATATATATATTTTTAAAGTATATAGTATATTATACCTTTTATGTAAATTAAATAATAATTAACAGCTATTAAAGCTGTTTACAACTACAGACATAATATATGTGGGCATGTATTTTAGTTTTGACCGTAATATACAAGCATATTAAATTTTTAGCATTTTAATTTTTCTTTGATTTACCAAAATAAAATTATGATTATTTTAAATTAAAAAAAGGTGGGCAAGTGGGTGTTGCTCTGCTGTACAGTTGGTTACAAGTGGGTCACTGTAATAGATGGTGTTAAATTTGAATTAAATGATATAATATCATAAGAGAAAACGATTCTGAACGAAGACGGTCAGTCAGCCCATGATATTACTAAGTATATTTGATGATATTATTGTGAATAAAGTAACTTATCTATATTAACCTATTTACGTGGTACCTTGTTTTAAATTTTCAATCCTTAGCTATAAAAGTTGAACATTTTATACATTTTCACTACAAAATAATTATTAAATTTTAATTATGTCAAAATTCGAACTTTAATGATTATAAATTTATAACAAAAAGGTTTGTTTATTTATTTTTAATGTTTTTCAACCGCTATTGTAATATTATATCAGGAGCCTTGTATTAAATTTTCAAGCTTCTTTAGTCTTTATACCAAACAAATAAAATTTTATTGACATTCATAGAAAAATTTAAAACTGAAAATGTTATCGTGTATATAAAATGCTTTTATAAACAACCAGTGAAAATTTCATGTTTCCACCGTCATTTGTTTTAGAATTACACCAAGAACCGTCAAAAACCGTTTTTACTTACGTTTTTTTGCGTAAAAATGTATGTTTTTCCTATACGTGCCTTCAGCTACAAATTTGTAGTATTTAAATAAAATTGGTTTTTCATAAGCATATTTACCTAATTAGTATATAATTTTTTACAGTAGCAAATTAAATGATAATTCAGGTAGGTAGTGCAGTATATTATATAAATATTTTAGTTATTTAGGGTGGCAATTTTTGACAGGACTACACACGGGAAATATGTCAATACGCCCCTGCCAACTGGCCACATATATTTACGTCAAAGGTTAACAACTTTTTTTTCTACTCATTTTAAATACTAATTAATAAAAATAAAGACAAAATGTATTTCTTTTATTGATTGTAATTATGACAAAGATGTACATTATACAGGTCGTCCGAGGTTTAATGGCATACGCCGACAACTGTGGACAGTGTGTTAGCACTGAGCGCTATAGTTACGAGCCACTGGGCTGAGTGGACGAGAATAATACCATCCACGACGGACGGCTCGTCACGGTTGCCGCAACCCGTGAACCGTAAAGTCGTCCAGGCACTCCAACCGGAACCGGGACCAACCCGCCGGGTCCGGTTTTCCCGGCGTTCTACACTAGCGAAAACCACACGCCCGCTGCACGAATCCAAATCCAGCTTCTTCGGCTCACCCTCCACCGGGAGGCATTCCGGGGTCGAACACCCGCCTGGCTCTCGGGCCCCCTGGACAACCCCCGGCCCGTGCTAGGTACTATTATCGTGTATAAGTCATAAGTAGGACATGCGGTGCCACTGGCTTTCTAATTAACTCTGAACCCTGCACGTGCAGTAAATAGTGATGCCAACCGGATAGCGATCCGCCATGCAGTTCCCACGGCGCTGGGGCTCTAGTCGGTTTGGTAATACGCTACCGGGACGCGTCACACGCAGTAACCCGTAAACTTACGCGATATAATATGACATAAGCGCCAAAGGTACAAAAATAACATATCATTTGCATAGAAATTAATATTTTATATAAATGGTTATTTAAAAATGTCGATCTTATAAAAAATTTTCAAAAAATATAATTGAAACTTATAAACTATACACTTATACCTAGTTAACTAATACGTTACAATTGTTATTATAATAACATAAAATTGTATACTAATTTATGTAAAATCATGTAATTAAGCACCTGTCTAGTGTCTGATTATTTATGATGACAGCTCTTAAAATTAAATTGTGATTGATCAATGATCAACTCCTTTGGGGTGTAACTATCGCTGCATAAAGTTCTACCCAGTCTCCTTGGTAGGCGATGTGTGAAAATTCGATTTGATGCATGATTGTACCTGCTCTACTCGATTAACCAATGGCAACCAATACAATAATAAATACTATAATAAATACTTATAGTAGAGATTATAGTTAGTAGTTACATAGGACAGAATAAATTGAACATATAAAGATAATATAGTACCTATGTAATATAATATAATATACCTAATTTATATAAATCGAAGAGTCTCGCTAGAGACTCCTTTCTGTGCATAAGTAACACTGATAAGAAACAGCACCTTGACAACCGATAGCGAGACTATTATACATTAAGTTTCGTTTCGGCGCTCGGACCTCTCACTCGCACGCATTGGTTGAATGCAGAGTGCGAGAGAGACAGAGCTAAAAACTGCAGTTTTGTGAGTCTTTTTCTTTCGTCCGTCATAGCAACGTCATCCAACGCCGCGCCGTAGCAACCGCCACGCGCCGGTCGCTACCGTACCACGAACCTCACCCACAACAACAGCTATTTACAGCTAGCTAGTTTTACGTTTGTAGAATTATTAGTAATAAATAAAAAATATCTTATTCAAAAAAATTTCGAGATGTTCAACTGTACAAACATTAAAAAAGAATATTAGCACAGAACGGTGTACAATAATGATGAATTAATAAAATTAGCCATAAATTGTCGACTTGTTTACGAGTTAATCTGTTTGATTCGAATTTTTGTTGACAAACTGTAATTCACGCCGTTCTGTGCTAATATTTTATTTTAATGTTTGTACAGTTGAACATCTCGAAATTTTTTTGAAAAAGATATTTTTTCAAGTTGAGGCACATAATTTGGGTATTGATTTCACTTCTTTATTAAGCCCCAAATTCTATTTTTTCAACCGTGGCCCTTTTTGGCACAGAACTTTGAGATTGATTTCACATCTTTATTAACACCAAAGTTCTATCTTTTCTCCCAATCTCTTCAACTTACGCACAGAAAGCCTTTTTACTTCTCCGAAGTAGTTTTTTTGAGGTATAATATAATATAATGTATAAAAAAATAATATAATTTAATGTATATAAAAATAATATAGTACGCCGACTCTATGTGGGGAGTCTGCAAATAACACCTGACGTGTCGCGTAAGTACTATAACTTACGACTTTTAACTAGGCGCAGTATTAATATTTACCTACCTCCGAAGCGTTTAGTCGTAATCAAATGTATACGGTGCTGTGTTTTCCGCAGAAACGTCAACTCTCCAGTGAGTTGTCTGTTTCATCACTCTCAAGATAAATAATAGTATGTCAACCAATACTCCATAGTCGTCGGTCCAAGATAGGTTTGGATATCTTTTGTACTTAAAATTAAAATGTCTAAGCGTTCAAGTTCTTCTTAATGGAAGCATTTTAACAACGGAAGTTTATATCGCCACAAGGACACTTCTAATGCAATACGAAAATC